GGGGGGGGGGCTAAAGAGCAGTGGGTCTGCCCTTGGGAAGCCAGGTGGGGGGTCTGGGAGAGGTTCCTTCCCGGGTGGTTTTCAGTCTTTATTTATGCATGTTTTTAAGCAACAGAACTACTTGTCTTTAAACAAAATCTAAAGAAAAATTCCAACATATAAAATGATAACACTACTGCTAAAATTTATTAGTATAAATTTGTTTATAAACCTATAATTAAGTCAATGAATTTAAACTTTTTAAAATTATAAACATAAAAATGTTTAAAACTGGTTATAGATAACAGCTGCAATAATTTCAGCCTCGGTACCCACTTTACTCCTCTGTTTTGAAGTAAAAAATTTTTACTCCCTATCATACAAATATTATAAAAGTATAACCACCTTCACTCCGAATAGCTTGCCTTATAATCTCAATTAAAGAGAAACGTCAGGAAATACTTTATTCTGAGGTCTGAACATTAATAATAGCAGCTACAATATAATGCTTTCTACACCAGTCACTGTCAGGCGCCTCACATGAAATTACCATTTATTTCTTGCAACAAACCTACATGATTGGTACTATTATTTTCCCCTTTTTATAGGGGATAATATCAAAGTTCAGAGAGGTTAAATAATGTGCCCACTATCACACAACTAATATATAGCAAAGCCAGGAAAGAAACTGTCTGCCTGTCTCCCAAGCCCAAGCTGTGCTGTAAGTTCACCTGTGCAGCATAGCACAATGGACAAGTTTGGGCTTTAAAAGTTAAGTAAAGATTTAAACTATGTTAAAAAATAAAATTAAAATCTTGTATCTGCAGAAGAGTTTTAAAAATATTCTACAGTAAAAATAAAATACAAGTTTAAAAAATATTCTACAGGAAAAAATACAAGTTAGATCAGGCAATTCCCAATATTGGTCACTAGGTGTCACCAGCAGCCCAGGATAATTTATGGGCAGGCTGTTGAGAGGAAAGGATAGCTGAGTTCATATTATCTACGAGAGTGCTCACAAGTCGTGATTTAGAAAGTTCTGTATTCATCTAGAAGATTCATGTCATCTTCCACATGAAACACTACAATTTAGGAAATTATATAAGATTATAATAATTTTATATAAACGGAAATGACTAAATCATTTACAACAATAACTCAGATAACCCAAAATTATAGACAATACAAATATATAAATACTATCGGAAATATGCTTTTAAAATTATTTCTAAAAATGTACTTCTAGAAAATTATATTTCAGGTCTGACTTCAGATTTCCATGATCAATAACAATACCATCTTACCTTTAATACAGTGCCTATTTACAAGGAAGTCTCACATTGTTTCATTTGCTCCTCACAATACTTTTGTGATAAAGAAAGGTATCATTCACTTTATTTCATTATAAAAGAGCAAAAAGGCTGAGGTTAAATGACTAGTCCAAGGTCATACTGTTGGCTAGATAGTCTTCTACCACTTCAAAGACTTTTCAAAGTTGGGAGGTTTTACATTTACTTTTATTTTCATGCAGAATTCCTAAACCCAGATTAATAATTTCTTTAAAAGTTGATTTTCCGGCTTTCTTAGCAAGCTGAAAGCAGTAAACCACACTTTATTTTTCCTCTGCTAGTTGTCATACCATAGCCTTCTGGTAGGTCTGGAGGAGTATGTAAATGTGTCCTGCTCATGTAATTTCTATGTCGCTGTGACCTGACTCTCCTCTCTGCCAGTCTGGGGTCTGAAGATTGTCCACATGTTGCACCATTTGTTCCACTAATTGGAGTGTTCTCATCAACAAAGCAGCTAAGAGGTCTGCCAGGACTAGAATATTCAGATGCCGGTCTATTGAAAAGTAACAGGGAGAAAAAGTTACTCAGTTAAGATATCAAAAGTAGAGCTCTCTAAACAATGCATGTACCGCAGTAACAACCACTTAGAGGGAAATGGAATGACTAATACAAATATAATGATTTCAAAAACTCTGAATAAAAGCCTGAAGCCTCTAAGCACCAATGAAACTCAAGTGATCAGCAGAATGTCAATTAATGTCTTTAAATCATTCAGTACTGATTTTAATTACATTTTATATGAAGTCCACATGCATTTGTAGGTGTGAGGGCCAGCTCACACAGCACCACTTGACGCAGCTGCAGCCCACCTCTCAGACCTGGTTTCCCACTGCTCTCCCCCTGCTTCTGACACACTCACGTTCTCCCTGTTCCTTGAACTTGCACAGGTTCTGGACAGTAGCTTTTCCTTCCACCTAAAATACTTTTTTCTCCTACTCTTCCTAGGCCAGGCTCTTTTTCCCCCCATCATTCAAATCATAGCTTTAGCTTAAATGTGGCCTCCCTCTAAGAGGTCCTTCCTGACATTCGAATCTAAAGCAGTCAGGCAGGCACTTGATAGCACATCACCCCCCCTTCCTCGGCACAGCAATTATTTCTGACATTCTAACTTGCATCCGTGTCTTTGGCTGTCTTCCAGCACTAGAATACTTATGGAAGATCAGAGTGCTTAGTTTGTTTCCCAAAACACATATCCCCACACCCAGAATAGTGCTTGGCATAGATGTAAGAGCAGCTCAATGAACACTGAATGAATAAAGGAAAGAGGACAGTTCGTCTCTTCAAAGAGCGTCCAGTCTATTGCAGGTCATCCAAAATACCATGATAATCAGGAGTTAATTTTCAAACTAACATTTACAACACAATCAACTTTAGACATGTGGAAATTAAAGCCAATTTTATCAGTTAAATGAATTAGAAGGAAATGGACTTCACTAAAACACTGACATAAGTACACATCCATTTACAGATACAATAAAAATGGGCTATCTGACATCAATAAAAACCTTGGCAATTTAATACTGGAAATGTAGCTCTCATGCATTTTTTAAAATGGCAGCATAGCTAAGCTTTTCCCAAGAATCACAACAGAGAAAACTTTGTGATCCAACGAGTTAAGCAATTAATCCCTAGTAAATAAAAGTATGTATAGCAAATAAGCAGCATTTGATAGGTTCTAAGTCTGGTGCCAGCCAGTCCCGCTCAGAAAAAAAGGGCGTGGGGGCAAAACAAACACAGTACAGGTAGCAATAAACTTTGTTCTTACTTTTTTTTTCTTTTTTATTGAACTTTGTTCTTACTTTTTAAAAAAATGAAAAAATATCCAGCCACTTATCTTATTCACTTTGTTACTCATAAAGCACTTCCTTGGAGTTTCCAAAAATTATCTTGCATCCCTATGTCTTTACACATTAAGCTCCATGAAGGTCTCTCCACCCTATTCAGTGTCACAGACCAACTGCTGAGCACAGTGCCTGACACACAGCCACTGGTGCACTGAACGATGACTGTGAGCACTATTACCCGGAACACTTCTCACCACCTTCCCCTTACCTGGCTAAACCCTAACATTCTTCAGGATTTAATTCAGAGATCCCGCTCCTTCAGAGTTTTCCTCGGCGTGTTCTGCCATCCCCTTGCCCCCCACTCTAAGTCAGGTGCCCCTCCACATGGTCTCAGAGCATCTGGTTCTTATCCTGATCACAGACCCTGCTGGACGCAATATAACATAATCATCCCCCTACACAACCGAACAAATGCAGATCCTGTATATGTATTTTGTTACAGCCATTCAATAATGGACTCAAAGAAAAAATTTAGGAGTCCAAAAAATAAGATGACTTCTCAATTTATTCATTTAACTCATTTAATAAATATTTATTGAGTATCTTCACAGGCCCTGCAGCTATAATAACAGAATGACCTGCTAAACAATCCTTATTGAAAATGACCTTTTAAAAATAATAATGGCACTTGCTATAAGATCTACTGATCTAGAGCAGTATAAACCAAGACGGGAAATCTGATTAAACAGATAAACAGAAACAAACGATTTCAGGAAGGTGAAGAGCACAGACCACAGGAAGATACTTGTAGTATGTTCTTACCGTGTTGGGCGTTCCCACTGCGTAGTTCTTGTTATGTGGTTTAGGTACTGGATTCTTCCAGAGGCAGTTCTCCTTTCTTCCCAGCTTAAGTAAAAATATTGAGGAATAAGGTATGACTAGGAAGTTGGATACAAAATGTTTGCAGTGTAATAACCAAGTCAGGAAGAGATTTGTATGAATCAAGAACCACAAACTGAAAGATCAATCCACAGACTAAAGGAATTTTTTCAACTTATTTTTAAAATGTACACTTATCTTCTGGAATTCTAAAGCTCCTAAAATATTCACACTGAGGTGTGATTAATATTTTCCATCAGCCAAACTCTAAGAATTTTCCAATAATGTCAATAATACTCAATTAAATTACATGTATGCTCCATAAATATTACTATGTAATTATAATTACTATTACACAGATTCTCTATCCCATCCCTCTAAACAGGGCAATGTCTCAGATTCAGTACTTATACACCCAGTTTTGAGTAATTTAATCAAACAAAAAAAATATTTTTCTTCTGAATATATAATAGTTACAGGAGAGTTCTTTTTGTCAAGAAATCTGACTTGCCTCCTAGTCAAAACTCTTAAAAACCAAATTTAACATCTAATTCATGGCTTATTTTATAAATTTATAACAAGATCCCTTACTAATTTTCCAAGTACAAGGAAAACCTAGATTCTAGAATTGATCATCAAATTTTTAAAGTTACGTATACAATAAGCACCAACTTCTTTTTTATTATTTTAAGGATGTTACCTACATAGTTCTCTAATGATCTCAGCTTACCCATCTGGTAAATCGTTATCAAACAAGCGACTGCAGTCCACAACTTGTCCTCCTGTGCCTATCCGGTCTCTGGACTGAAGACTTACTATTAAACAACAAAAACATTACTGAGAGTCATAGATGAGAAAGAACTGTCACAATTTAAAATACGTATCTTTAAAAGACATCTGGCTTAGCTTATTTCAATATTTTAGAATGAACTCTTTAGTTTCTACTAAATTCTGTAATTTCTTTTTCCATGAGATTTTTTCCCTTTAGTAGTGATATTAGAATTTTAAGGCTTCCTACACTTTATCATGTTCATGGAGAAGAGTCTAATTACATGTTTCCATCATAGTGGGCAATGCAAGGCTACTACTGCACTTAAGATAAGGCATAACACATGAAAAGCTTTATTCATGTACAGAAGAATTAATCTCAGTTTAATACCTCACTCATCTTTTAAAAAAATACACTAGATGCCGGCATAGGGCAATACTTGAATTCCATGAGTTAAAACAGTACGTCATCAGCCAGGGTGGTATAAAACTACACTGTATAAACTTGGCAGCGAGAAATGTGAACTCTAAACCAGGCTATAGCGGCTAGTTTAGCACTGTGACCTTGAAGAAAATCAGGCTATAGTCCCAATCTGAATGAGGAGGAAGTTTGGCTAAATAATATGCCTCAAGTCCTTGCTGCTCTATTATTCTCTATTTGTATTTTTGGCAACTCTCTCAAAAGACAGAAGGGGTACAGGAAAACTTGACTACAGCCCCACTTCTTAAAGAACACTAAATAAAGTATGACATCTTAAGACCCTTCATTCCAGGAAGGGTCTCAAAATTCTGAAATTTTCCAGCTCTGTAAAAATTGTGAAAAATCAGAAAGTTCAACACATTGTTCCATTTATAGGAGACAACACTATAATACACCTTCTCAGTGAATGTAAATAAAATATTAGTGTTAAAACTGTACTAGTAAACTTTATTAGTTTTTATCAGAAAGGCTAAGAAGTGAAATGCTTACTGCAATACAATCACAGCAGAAACAAGGCATTTCTCACTAGCTTTGTTCAGAATAATAATAAAGATCAAAGCTAAAGGATTTCATGAGCTTCAATGTTTCATCTCCAGAATGCTGTCTTACAAAAGACCTAAGCAATTTTTAGATGGGATTCTGCTTTTAAATAGCCTAATTCTAGCAATATATAAAATGAGTCATAAAAAAACTATGTTGTTAATCAGAGCACTGCTCATAATACTAGAACATCAGAAACAACCTAAATGTTCAACAATAGGACTGGTTAAATTAATTATTTGCCCACCACAAACTACCAAACAAAATTTTAAAATGCTACAGAAATGTATCCAGGTGCCCTGACTGGAAGTAGAACCTGAGACCTTCCAGTGCACAGGACAATGCTCCAACCAACTGAGCCACATCCACCAGGGCTATACTTTGATTTAAAAGATATTTAGAGTTTAGGTCAGCTTGAATGAAGCCAAAATTCACGTAACTTTAAGTTCCACACTTACCTACTATCTGTCCTCTAACTGTATCATTGTCATTTGGCCCAAGTTTGCAGAGATCCAACCTCTGATCTATTTCAAATCAACAACAAAAAGCAATTAAAAAAGAGGCTGGTATCAGAGATTCTAATATCTATTGAGCAATAGTAAATTTCCACAATCTGCTGGAAATCAGGCCTATCATTTAAAAAAGTAATCATGTTTTAATGACAAATGGTTTAAATTTTCTGACTGTATGTGTAATTAATATAAATGTCTCAACAAAAGTTTTGATAAATTCATATTTCAAAAACCATGAGACACTGGTGTGATACTGCCAACATGCAGTTCCTTTCCAAAGATTTCAGACGACTTTAGTCTGTGTCTTGGCTCCCACTTAAATACTTGTTGTTCTTGAGCAATTTATCCCTGAGTCTTGATTTTCTCGTGCATAGCAGCAGTACCTACTTCATATTTTCTAAGGATTAAATCAGATAATTATGAAAAGTTCTCAGCAAAGTACCTGGCACATACATGTTTAATAAATGTTAGTTGCCATTTGTTTTTTTTCTCTAACCATTTCAAAGATCCCCACCACCACACACAGTAAGTATTAATAAGCAGCCAAGTAAAAACTAGAAGATAAGGGTTTGAGCCAGTTCTGCTACCAACTCATTTAGGGGCAACTCATTCTTTCATGCCTCATCTACCATGTTTACCTTTCTGTAACTTTTAATTTTTTCAATTTTATATATCATTTTTATTCACTAATAATTCCCCTTTAACTGCCACCTTAAATACTCCAATCACCTAAATAAAACTCACTTTATCTCACAAATCCACCAAAACCAGAGAAGGATGCTAAGAAATAAAAAACACATCTATACCCTGACACCTCTCTTTTTATTCTCCGGGTAGCAATCACTCCTGAACCCTTACGTATTCACTGAAAACCTAGCACCAGCTCTGATTCAGTTCCAGGATTCACATATCTAAAATGTTTCATTGTGGTTTTTTTAAGTCAATCAAATATATTTAGACCAGGAATTTTTACCAGTGTTTCAAACATACACAGGAAGTTAAGTTTTTAGACCCCTCACTCCTCCCCAAAACATGTATATATGTGTACATGTTTATGTATATATGTAAATTTTTTAAAGTACTGGTATCTACTCACAACCAGTGTCTTTGAGGCGATTGATGGCATTGGAAAGAAGACGGACACAACCAAGAAATCCAGCACCTTGTTTTTTATGGATCTTCTTGTGATTCCATACACTGATCGTAACTGAATCAGACTTTCCAATATACCTAAAAACACAAAATGACTGCATGAGTAACTTGGCAATTACAAGTAGTTAGTATAAAATTTTTCTTTTGCTTTTGTAGTCTAGAGTCACAAATGTTTCAGAGTATGGATAGGTAATGTAAAACATGTTTTGAGTTCAATCAATTCACAGGATTGAATTTAATTTTTTTTTTAAAAACTTAAGAGTAAAATCAAAAAAGAACTGGTTTTTAAATTGATTTTTAGAGAGAAGGGAAAGAGAGAGAGAGAAAAGAACAATGATCAGTTGCCTTCTGTATAAGTCCTGACTGGGGATTGAACCTGAGACCTGGGTATGCGCCCTGACTGGGAATCGAAAGGGACGACATTCCAACCAACTGAGCCACACTTGCCAGGGCTAAAAAGAATTTTTAATATATCCTTTATCACATCTGCCACTCTCAGGCTGAGTAACAATTTTTGTTAGTGAAAAAAACTAATTTGGTAGCTGGATTTAAATAACACCTTGGGAGTGTATAGTTCTTTCTTTCCAAGAACAAAAATCTTACAGGAGCTTTTACCAGTCACATTTTAAATACATTTCAATGATACGAACTACAACTTCAGATTGTACTCCGTTCATTTTCAAGGGGCATTGTCAAGGCTGACAGACCAAAAATCTGACATACCTGTTATGTTTTAAAATGCTGCAGAACAAAAGCTGACTGTAACGCTTTTCCCCTGCTTCTTTCCTGTATGCAGGCCTTGAGCGAGCAGGACTCTTGCAGATTTCACTTCACTGCCTGCAGACAAGCAGAGCAGGGAAAAGCGTTACTACACTTGTCTGTGCATATACCTGCAAGTATGTGAAAGCTCCACCACAGCCAATTGTTCACATGGTGTCATCCCATGCAGAAATATAATAAGATAACATCATTCTATCAGCAGAACCCTAACTATATTTTAATCTACGAGGTCAAATTTTTGGTCCAACAACCTTGACCTTAATGTGTCATTCAATAAAGCAGCAAATTCAGAAAAATTCACCTAGTATGTTAAAAAACCTAAACCATTAAGTGAGGACTAAAACTTTTACATGAGGAACATGGAAGCCACACTTGTGCTCCTGGATCCAGCTATATTTAAAGCATAACACCCCCCACCCCAGGACTTTTAATTATGCAAGCTACTACATCCCCTTTTTTAAATTATGCCAATTTGAATTTCATGTCTGTTGCCTGCAAATAAAAAATCTGAACTAAAATATCATTCAGAATGAATGTACTAATTTTCAAATAGACTAACAGACCTAACATAGCAGGTATCTACTACAGAAGATGTCGAAATTCTAGAACCAGAATCATGCATTAAAATAGCTAAACACCCCAAACTAAACATTTTTTAAATGGGGAGTTGATTTACAGGTACGCTAAATATTGATTCCCTCAGGTCTTAGAGCAGCCCACCATGGCTAAAGTATTCTGTCTGGAGGCTAGATGTCAAGACCCATAGAGATCTTGAGACTATACACTGCAAATAGGGAAGCCTCTGCCAGTCTGTATCCCTGAGTGACTGACAGTGACTCACCTCCCTGCCAAATGGACTTTACAAACAAAATACACTTCTATTGTATTAAGCAATGAAAATGTGGTGTTGCCTATTATATCAGTTAGCCTGCTCTAACCAATACAGGGGACAAATCATAAAGGGCCATGTCAGCCATGGTATGAACTATGGCTCTTACTCCAAGCAAGACAGAAAGGGGATCTGGAGCAGAGAGTAACAAGCTTTGAGATATGTTCTAACAGGATCACTCCAGTTGCGGTGTTGAGAAAGACTATAGCAGCAAGGCTAGAAAAGCAAGGAGCCTAAGGTAGGGGTGAGCAAACCATAGCCTGCGAGCCAAAGCCAGAAGAACACAGCATATAGTAGGATTTCTCTTTTTTCCCCCAAGGATAAAAAAAATCTTTAGGTTTTAAGGCCATATTAAAAATATTTAGAATATCGTCTTCTCTCCATTCGCAGTACCACTTTTTCAACAAAATCATCGTTTTCTACTTGCTGGATTCCCCTATAGTAGTGGACATAGTCCCCTTGTCATTCTTGCCCCCTCTAAGCTCTTCTCCATATTATAGCCAACATGTTCATTCTCGGATATACACCTGATGAAAGCTTTTCCCCACCAAGCACCCTTTCATTGTTCCCACTGCTTTCAGGAGTGTTCAGAGGTACGAATAAGCTTTCAAGGACCTTCAGGAGCCGGCTTCTGCCTGCCTCTTGGGGCTTGTCCTTCCCACGCACCCCTTGGCGTATGTGAGCTCACCGGTGCCGTCTCTCTAAGCTGTTTTCAGAGCCATGTGCTCCTTCACCGCTGGGTCCTCACACAGAATGCTTTTGTTCAGGGCCTGCCCTCCTTTTCCCTTTTCAAGTTAACTCCTAATTAAGTTCTGAGCCTAAATGCCACCTTTTTAGGAAGCTTTCCCCAACTCCTAAATCCATGTGAAGAAGTTCTGTGTATTTCCACAGCACCCTATTCTCCCCCATATTGTCATCACACTGTTTATCGTTTCCTATTCACTTGTCTTTTTACACCACCTGGCTTTGAGGTTGGAGGACTATGTCTTGTTGACTGTTGTAGCTGGGTCTCTGGCTGAATTTAAATCTGATTGAAGCTAAAAAGAAATGGCTTAAAACAATCAGATTAAGAACTCTAAAGCTTGGTCAAGCTGCATAGAGAGTAGCTTAGTATAGCTGTGCTTTCAAAATCCCCAAAGGTCAAATCAACTAATACAAATTTTGTGACCTAAAATAACGTATTTACTAAAACCATCTAACATTTGAGAATTACACGCCAGGTACTAGTCTAAGCACTTTACATGTATTATCTCACTTAATCTTCCTATCAGTCCTCTAATGGCATTACTGTCTATTTCTACGATTAAAGTAAAATTTAAAGGAAAGAAACACTCCATAAAGAAGCAAAAAAAATGCCTATAAGTACACCCCAATTACAATGTCTGGTTTTATACTTTTAATTGGCCAAAAATGAATTAATACCTTCATTTAATTACTAGAAGTGGGGGTAGGGAACAGCTCCATACTGTGTATACATTTTGTTCTTCACAGGGTCATTCTGAAGGGTATCTCATCTTCCAAAACCAGCTATAAATTAACCGAAATACCTTCTCAGTAGGTTTTGTATCCCTCTGTCAAGACCAAATTATACCACAGATCAAACTCTGATCTTTTTCAGTGATTCTTTTCAAAGACTGTATCAAATTACACTGATGCTATGTTTCATTTCAGTTAATCATTTAAACCTACAGGTCATAATGCTGATTCCACTTTGGATCGAGTGTATTCTTCACAGTATCTGTAGAATGGCATTGTCCAGATCCATCAACTACAACCTTAGCAAATGGGTCCGGAAGTCCTGTGAAAAAAGGGGAAGAGTTTTTAATTAAAAAATATTTGGCACGCAAGGTAGAAGAATTAATTATATAAAGATGATTATTTGCTACAGAGATTACCTCATTCTTTATAAAAGTTTAACATTTAGCTATAAAAGTGGTCCATTTAAAAAATTAACATTTAAGATTAAAGTTAATTCTACATTAGATACCAGAATACATTTATCTCAAAACCTTCTCAGCTTTAAACTACCGAAGTCTAGGGGTTACCTCAAATGTGGAAGTTTTTGCCCGGCCAGGCGTGGCCCAGCAGTTGAGCGTCAACCTAGGATCCAGGCGATCGGGCTCGATCCCCAATCGGGGGCATGCAGGAGGCAGCCAATCAATGACTCTCTCATCACTGATGTTTCTCTCTCTCTCTCCTCCTCCTTTCCTCTCTCTGAAATCAATAAAGATATATTTGGGGGGGGGGGAATGTGAAAGTTTTTATAGGCCTTTACCTTTGACCTCAGAAAGGAGAATGCTTAAAACACTCCTGGCTCTTGGAGCTTTTCCAAGGTCTCCTTTAGTAGCTTATTTAAAGAAAGAGCTTACTAAAGCTTTTCATACAGGAACATGGGCTACAAGAAATTAAGTTAGCCAAGAAGTTTTACTAAATAACTTCCATGAGTGTGAGAAATTAAAACAAAAAAATCTAATACCCTGCCTTAAAAGAGCTTAGTATCTAACTGGGGAAATAAGAATGCCATACACATACACACATGAACCTAAGAATAAATCAGTGTTTGACTGTACTGATCTGTAATACTCTGAATGCTATATATATATATAAAATCTCTTAATCCTCACAATAACCCTAAGAAGTAAATAATACTATTATCTCTATTTTATTTACGAGGAAACTGAATCACAAAGGATGATTAGTCCAAGGTCACAGTAGTAAGTGGCAGAGCCAGGGTCTAAAGTTTAGATTCTAAGCCCAAGCACACACAGTCTGGTTCCTGAGTTCATGCTTTAACCACTACACTGTATTATACCTCTCTTTTACTATGCCATTCAGCAGCTTGTACAAGCTCAGGAAAGAGAACAGTTTGAGTCTGAACAGTAAAACAAGGGTTTTTTTCTTTCTTCTTGAGGAGATGGCTCTCATCTGGCTTTAAAGAGTAAGTAGGAAAGCACCAAGAAGAGTGTGACAGTATTTGAAGGGCTTACAGGAGCCTAACCAAAGGGTTGGTGCTAAGGTGTGAAAATAAAAGGGTTGGAGAGATAAGACTGATCCTGAGAGAGGCTTAGAAGGCAGAGAATCCAAACTTTGGGTTCCTGAGCACGGCTGCAGATATGGTTTCATGTTTTTCTATTAGTGGTGTTCAGGATGGACTGAGGGAAGAAAATACCAGAGGTACAAAGGCCATCTGTGAATCTGCTGTAAGCTTCACACAGCAGCATAAAGAACAGTAGGATGAGCAGACCCTGAACGAGGGAAGTCACACAGAAAGGAAAAGGAAGTGACAGTGAAGAAAGCTGCTCTCAAAGATATAATATGAATTTATAAGAAACTAATGTCAAAACTGACACTACATTTTTCGGCCCAAACAACACTTAAACTAGTGGCCCTTTTGACCAAAAACTGATAGGAGAATGTAGAACTAAATAAAACATTAAAAAGACTAAAAAGACCATTTAGATGTGAGACATATTGGGACAGTATAGATCTCCTATGGACAGCTGAAAATGCCATAACAAAATGTTGTAAGTGTTGATAACTGGAGAAACTTTGCACCTTGACATCTATGCTGATTTCTTTTTAAAGTCAAAATACTAACATGCCAATATTCAAGGCCAGACAGAAATCACCTAGCCAGTTCCAATTCTATGATTCTGTGATCTGCAACTTCAAAAAAAATAAGACCAAATCTAAGAGTGTTAAGTACTTAAGAAGAAACTTGGTAAATTAGGGTATCAACCAATTTACTGTATTGTTCTTGAAGTTTACTGCTATTCATATAATTTCCATAATACCTAACAATTTGTAAATGTGTTTAATGGAAGAATACTTGTCCCTCTACCTTCACTAACATAGGTCTACCTTGTTCTTTTGATTCTACAATATAAGCAAATAAACATATAAATGTATGATTGTAAGCAAAAACAAAAAAGTCACATTGCTAGCTTTCTCTATGGATGTTGTTCAACTAGTTAAAGAATTAAGGATTAAGAAAAAAAACTTTTTCTACACAAAAACACTAGGTGTGGCATCTGTATAACCCAAAGACACAGAGGGCACGGAGGTGATGGCCTGAGAGAAGGGGGTGAGCTGGGTGGAGGTGGGCAAAGGTGGGGAGAGGAGTGGGGACATCTATAATAGTGTCAAAAATAAAAATAAAGTTAAAAAAAATATGAGTACCACCTTCCTATGTCTCTCTTCTGTTAACACAAAATACAGCTCTCTACCCTAACCAAAAAATACCTAAGTTTCAACTTACCTGATTATATTATTCTTCAAAAATTTAACTTGAGGGCCAAGTTACTCTAATGTGGGCAAAAACTATCAAGTATGCTGAAGTTAGTGAGACCTCTAGTGGTAAATATAAAGTGGATAAAGGATTTTCTGTGTTTTTAAAAATTTCTCAATTCTCCCCATCATTACTGAATCATATAAAATAGCTAAAGCTCAAGAATTTTCTTACTACACAAATGCACTTAATGAGCTGAAAATAATAATGAAATAAAAATTTCAACTTAAAAGTAAGTTACTTACTAGGGAAAAGAAAGCTTTGTTTTTGATTGGGGGAGGAAAATAAACATTCAGCTAACCAATCTTGGTTCTGAGCAACTTCAATATGGCCCCTATACAACATCCTAAGAGAGTATGTTACACACAAATCCTTTATTTTAATGTTGCATGAAAGAAAAAAAATAATTTGATACTAATGACAATATTCTTTTAAAAACATCATAATGGATAAATGGATAAAGTTAATGGTCAAATCTAGATGTATATTCATTGTAAAATTCTTTAAATGTTCCTATATGTTTGAAAATTTTGCTGCTAAAATTTGGGAGGAAGAAGGAAGTACCTATTTTAAAAAGCCAATAAGCTTATAAACAGTTCTAAAAGAAATGACTGAGGAAAACGTTTTCAACAAGGGTAGATACCCTAAAATAAATAGTATTAACTCAAATTACAAATTACTCTACAAAAGACCACGCATGGCAGTACATTTTATTCCTATAAAATGAATAGTTAAAACAGAAATATATATCTATATATATTTCATCAGCTTATAGTCCTGCTCCATATTAAAATTTACTTTTCTCATTCAACATGATTTAAACTGAGTAACAAGCAAAAACTTAAGTATATTTCAGTATCAATGATAATTACATCCTTATCAATAAACACAAATTCTCACTCAAACTTAAGAGATTTAGGAACTATTATTTCTTTGTCTGAAATTAATGTGAGCAACTCTCAACTTATGAAGAGAGGAAAAATAAAGGTAAATCCACCACAGCAGGAGAACCTTCATCAGTGTGACCTGGGAGGGCCGCTCCCGGCCAAGTCCCTTCTGAAGACCTTGGGACGGGCTTTCCTGTTTCCCATTCCAGGGCCATCGAGTGTTTCTTCCACTCTGGGTTTTAAAGATAATCGCACAGTTTCCCTTAACTTTTTTATCCCTAAAGCAAGCTCGCAGCTCTTAAGAATTTTTATCAATTTTTACTGCTTACACCAATAAAATGGGAGAGTTTCCTTCTTTTTCTTTTCTTTTCTTTTTCACATACAACCTAAGGACAGATAAAGATCATCTGAGTGATAACCATCACCTCTGGAGGTTTCCAAAGGACTAAAGAAAGATCTGTCTAGATTTCCTAGGAAAACTGAGACACAGCTATTTGGGTATTTTACTGAAGAAGCTGTGTCTTGGGACCCGGAGGAAGGAAAAGAATTTGGGGAGGAAGGCCAGGAGACAAAACTGAAGGTTTTATCTTTAAAACCAGAGCAGACGGCTTGGACGGTACAGAAGCAGTTGTAAGAGTGTGCAGTCCTCACTTCCCATCCTTTGCTCCTGTCACCTGCCTATCTGATCCTATTTGCCACTTTGCCGTCCTACTAGGATAAATCCTACCTCAGATCAGTCTTAAGAAGGGTACACAGTGGTTATTAGGTTATTAGGGACGGGGTGAGGTGGGTACTTTAGCATCAGCCTGTGAAAACAGTATTAATTGGTGGCAGCCCAGCGAAAGACCACTGGGTACAAAAATTGGGGTAGAGGGTACATGGTACATCAGCTGGTTATATCTTTCTTCTTAACTATGTCCTAAAGCACAGATACCATAAAACTTTTTAATTATACAGTTTTATAAGATGTTATTTTATAAACTTTAATTCAGGTTCTACTCTAGGAAGACTTGGAAGTAATAAAATTTCAAGTGGAATGAATTAAGTATGATTTTAAAATCTATCAAGAGCCTATTATTTATTTTAACCAAACCCTTGAGCATTATCTAATGTCATATTAAATTAGCACTTGCAGGTAGTTTTTGCTCACTAGTAAGACCTGAATTTAAAAAGCTAATCTTTATGTCTAACTTCAAATACTTTGCATATAAAATTTTGTTGGCTTAAGAGGCTTTTTCCTGCCCAGCCAGGCATGGCTCAGTGGCTGAGCATTGACTTAGGATCCAGGAGATCGAGGTTCGATTCCCAGTCAGGGCACATGCCTGGGTTGTGGGCTACAGCCAATCAATGACTCTCTCATCACTGATGTTTCTCTCTCTCTTTTCCTCTCTCTGAAATCAATAAAGACATTTTTTTTTTTTTAAAGCTTTTTTACTAAAAATTTTATCATTTTTTACTCAATAAATTAAAGCTATTAACATTCCTCCTCCACAAAACTTAATCCTAAATAAAGCCACAAAAAAAGTTTCATAACAGATCGGCAAAGAGACTGCAAACATGGGAACCAAATGTCCAACGGAGTGTGAGACTAAAGAGCATCCACAATCAAATGTGGCAGACTTTTCTTTCCTACAGTCTGGAAATTCCAAACAAGCTGAATGACCTCTCTGCTTTCCAAGGAATCCTGAATGCATGGGTACAATGTCCTGTAAAGCGTTAGGAAAAAAGTGTTTACAAAATAATCTCAAACATTTTCTAGAAATCTAGTAGCATGACACTTTCAATATACATTACACACATCTGCATATACACACCAGCGCACACGCGCACATACACACTTCACACAAATATGTGGGAGGAGTGGGCAAAGGGAAGGGGGTTAAGGCTTAAAAGCACAAAATCCTCTTTTAAAAAAAGCAATGCAAAAGGCTCTGAACCAAAGCATTCATAAAACAACACTGAGTATATTTCTGAATAGAGAAACCCCTAAACCAGACAATTCTGAAAATGCTGTCCAAAAAATTCACACACAACATACAACATTTAAAGTTAATTTACTTACGGAAAAAATCCTTTTTCACCAAGTTTTTTGCACAGAGTACTGTAAAGGAAACAAAAAATACATGGGAAAAATTAAAATAAAATGGTAAGACTGCATTTTTAAACACTGAAAACACCACTGAATAAACACTGACTACAGCAAGCTATGAAATATGATCACAAATGTCCATTAAAGTCTAGCAAAAGACAGCTGAACTAGTGGCTGCAACCTTAGCAACGATCACCAGTAACAGCTGAGGACAAGTAAGTTTATAAATCTGCTATTCTAATAAGGACCCAATCCCTATCTTCCAACAAGATCTGTACTCAGGGTAGCTTGGGGGCAAGAAGAAAATAGTTCTAAGAAGGAAATATGTAAATTCAGGTTTATGTATGTTTTAGGGATAAAACAATTTTATACTGAAGAGAATCATAAATAAGATAAAGCTTTCTTGATACAGATTTTTTTAAACAGCGTTCTATTATTTACTCTGCATCTAAATGCCACAGAAACTTTACAGGAGAGATAAATTAATTACCTTCTAAATCAGCTCAACGACAAGACAGATCTATATCTTCCAAAAATTAAAAGTTAATACCCTGAACTAAATATCCCAAATCTACATTCTCTGGATTACCTTGCATTAAATTGTTACTTATGTGGTGATGGATGCACAACCTTGTGAATGTATTAAAACCACTGAATTGCAGCCCTGGCCTGGCAGCTCAGACATTTGGAGCATCGTCCCATATACCGAAAGGTTTCAGGTTCAATTCCCAGTCAGGGCACATACCTAGGTCGTGGGTTGGATCCCCAGCTGGGGCATATACAGGATGCAACTGATCAATATTTCTCTCTCTCTCTCTTCCTCTCTCTCTAAAAATCAATTTTTTAAAAAAACATTGAATTGCACTGTAAAGGGGTGAATTTTATAGGGTTTGAATTATATTTCAATTAAAATATTACTGCTTATACAGAGCCATAAACTTCATTTCTTTAATTCAAGCTCAATACAAGTGCAGGAAGAACATCAATTTCCATGTATTTATAGTTTAATTTATAAAATATCTATAAAAGTAATGTTTGATTAATTCTACCCACTTCTACTCACAATTTAAATGTTCTGTTCAATTAGTTACAATTACTGGAAGTTTGGTGTGTAAAAATTCATTTAACATTATAAACTTTGGGAATATGTCTAAATATAACTAATCACTTTTAAAGCTCAAAAGTCATTTTGAAGACAGATGTCATTAGTAAATGAATAATATTATCAAGTAGGCACAAGATACTGATTTATTATTCAAAATCTCTTAGAAATAGTTTTGCTTTTCAAGTCATAAAACCTCAGTCATGAAAACGAAGGCCATAACTAAGAGTGCCAAGTCACCGACCTGATTTAGAAGCACTCCGCCCTAAACTTCCATCATCATCATATAAACTGAAGAAGAGTACTCAGGATCCATATACACACAATACATATACACACACACATGAATTAGTCTTCAGTATTAGAAGTGGTCCTAGTTCAAAAAATGAGAGGATTTCACATCCTACTTCGGCGAAACAGAAAACATATGCAAATTCTCCCAGCATCTTGTCGCTAAACATGCAAGTTTACAGTTTGGCACTCATTCTTTTTCCGCCCTCCCACTTACCATGCCCACTCTGCTCTCTGCCTGCCGCTACCCGTCGGCCTGTGCTGTGGGTCTCATGCCCAATGCACCGCTTTCACAGGGGCCTGTCTCCCCTCTCCTCTACTGAACAGCCTCATCTGCACTTAAACGTACTCAAGCCTCACCCATGCCTCCTACCTCCAGCCACCATCCAACCTCTCCTCCTCCATAAGGAAACTACTTGAAAGAACTGTCTACTTGGTGACTCCCCTTCTTTGCCTCCCATTGTATATGGCTTCCTCTCTCACCATTGTCCCTACACTGCTTCTCCAAAGCCCTGGGAACCTAATAACTAAATCCATCCAATGGACACTTCATTCTTTATCACATCTGACCCCTGAGGGGCATTTGCCTCTACTGACTACGCCCTCTTCTGGAACCTCTCTCTTCTTTTGGTTTCTGTTTAACCCCACATCCACCTGGTTTTACACCAGGCATGAAACTCATTCTGTCTTTCTTGCCAGATCTTTTCTCCTATGCTCCACCCATGAAAGTTGAGGTTCTTCATGGTTTTGCCTAGGCCCTCTTCTTTTACTCTATAACCTGAGGAACCCAGATGTCCATCTTTGTAAACCATAGAATTATTTGTAAACTGTTATATGTATGTGTAAGAACTCACATTTTTTCTGGGAGAAAGTTCAGTTTAATAGATTGACAAGGATCTTCCCTCTCAAAATATACATCTGGAGAGCCATTTTTCCATACACTCTCTCTGGTCTCTACCATTTTGATGACACCTAAATCTAAAAACCCAACCCTTTGCTCTCTCCTGAATTCCAGGTCCACACAGGTAAACTAAATATAACCTCCCAAAATAAAATCCCCATCTTCTCTCTCCCCCAAACTCCTCCAATCTACTTTCTTTCAATAAATAGCCCTTCTTTCCACTCCACTGCCTCAGACAGAAACCTCCATAGTAGCCTCCACTACTCCTCCCTCTCCCCACTTCCCGGCAATTACCAGTTCTAATCAATATCCTTCATCTGGCTATTTCTATTATCAGTGCCACCACCCTAGCCCAGGCACCATCAACTACTGTCTAGATCATTACAACAGCCTCCCAATCAGTCCCCTGCCTCAAGCCTCAATCTCCTCCAATCAGTTCTCCACACTGGACCCAAAGTGATCTTTCTAAAAATATGATTAATCCTTCCATCCATTTACCCTGCTTCTAGTAACATTCCAAAGGTCCTGAAAGCATTCCTTAAAACTATCCTTCCACCTGTGCTCGGTATCTCATACCCAACCTACCACTTTCTCAGGGAACATGTCCCTGTCTCCTCTACTGACCTCTATCCTTAAAACACTCCCAAAGTCTTCAGGCCCAAACTTCACATTGGTTTACAACGCCCTTCTGGCCCTGGCTCATGCTTACCCATACCTCTGACCTCATTTTTCATCACCATCTCTCCCCTCCAAGCCCCCAAGTTCAAGATCCAGTCATACTTTCACTTTCTTAAATGTACACCATCTTTTACCCACAACCTTCAGGGGCCTGAAACATTTTTCTCAGGCTTCACCTTCTCATCTTTTAGGCCTTAAAAGGGAAGGAAGCCTTTGAGAACATGTTTCTCTCAACTCTCCACCCACTTCTATTTTCACAGGAGACCATTCTCATCACAGGCATTCATCACTTCATCACACTTTATAATAATTGTGTAAGTTTAGAATGTTGCTTATAACTACAGAGGTGGGAAACTCCATACAGCAAAAATCACATCTGCCCCATTTCTTTGTATCTCCAGCACCAAGCACACATTGAGTCAGGCATTTGATGGGCACTCAATAAATATTTGTTGAATGAATGAAACACTCTTCAAAATAGTCTAAAATAATTTTATTGAAAGGGGGACTTTTATTCTATATGATGGATAAATTACCAATTCTCAAGTAATCATGATTTTGACTTATGGAATCTTATTTTTATTGTTTCCCTTTATTTAAAACATACTCAGGTCACATTTGACAAATTTTCTTTCAAAAATCACAAATAAGATGTTGCTAATATATGAGTAACTTTCAAAGGGCAACTGAAAAATCAAAAGAACAAAGAACTTTAAAATCAGTTTTAAAGTTTATGAAGAGAAACTGAATTTTAGTAACCCAGAGACTAGGAAAGATAATATCAGGGTCCTACAAGAAGTTCACTTACAGGTTAACTTAAAACATAAAGAAATACCAGGATTGGTCAGATTGCTAACCTTAACACTAGAGATCAAGAGCTCCAGCCAGTTTTTGCTTAAATTATTTTGTACCTAAAAGAAAAAAACTCTCATTTATAAATTTTAAAAGGCAGATTCTCAAACATAATATGAGATGTGGTAATTTATTTGCACAAATAAATTATTTTCACACCTTGGAGGCTTTACTACACTATTCTTTTTCTTGAGAATGTACTCTGGGTACTAGAACACCACACAGTCCATTGCTCTTTCTATCCTCAGTACCAATTATAAGCACTCAGGAAATGCTCAGTGAGTTAAAGAATTTCAATAGGACAAACTATCTGTCACCATAACAAATTCTCAACCAAGGAGGTATATATCAGAATCTCCTGGGGAATGTATGTATTATAATTACATATTATAATATAATTTCATATTTGTAACATAATTTTATATTTATAATTGTATAAATTTGTATTTGTAAATTTACCATTTTTTGTAATAGAAACTATAAGAAGTTGAACCAAGACTGGAAATCATGGAGCTAAGGAGGGGTAGCAGTGTGGATGAACTTTCATTTTAGTTTTCTAAATGATTATTACAGGGGAGAGGAAAAAATAATTTTGAGAAACACTGGACTAAGCTACTGGAAGGGACTGGCAGGAGAGAAAACTTGTAAGGTGGATGGGGCCAGAACAAAGGCTAGGGAGTGTAGAATTTCTCCTAGACAGTTATCAATATTTCAATAACTTTAATGTTTAGTAAGCTTTCTACCAAAGTAACATATACAGAAAGGTGCAAAAATCTTAAGTATATAATTCAATAAATTTTCACTAATTTTTGTACTAAAACAAAACATTAAACTGGAATCTAGATATTTATTTAGCAATCATGTGTCAATTTGATTAATGCTAACTACAAAATGTGGCATTACACCAGCACAACGCCATTACTCCAGAATCCATTAGAAACCATGTCTCACATGGTCTGTAGATTTGCACTAGATTAACCTTACTAGTCTGCTTTGATCATGTACCTTTCTCAAATTCCTTCAAAGCATTTTTCATTCTTAAGTTTACATTCCCAAAACCTAGCCTGTTCTAGCTATTCTATTCACCCCTTCTGCAGAGAGATGGTTTGAAATAGGTACAGATCATAAAAATAAGCTACGGTAGGCCTTGTTTGTATACTGGTAACTCCTATTTCACACAGATGCAGA